CTCTCTCTCTCTCACACACACACACACACACACACACACACACACGGGTTGGGGGGGGGGTGCAGGGGGAGATGGACATTTGTCCCAGGACCAAAATGGAGTTTTGGGGGAATTTCTGCAGGGAGCCCATGGCTGGCTGGGGCCACAGCCCAGAGGAAGGTGGAAATGGGGGGCTGACACTAGGGGGAGGCTGCATGAAGGACCCAGGGGGAGCCAGGGGTGGTGGCACCAGGCGTCTGGAGCCATGGGGGTGACGAGGGCAGGAGAGCAGATGGAGGGACCCTGCGTGAGCACCCCCCACTCTGCATCCCCATGACTTCCCCCCACCGACCCAGCAGGATTCAGGGGGTTTACTCAGAGACCCCCGGTCTGGGATGCCAGGAGGCCTCAGGATGAAGGGGAGATTCTGCGGGTGGGTGTGTGAGGGGGGAGTCTTCCGGAAAATTGACCCCCAGGGAGGATGCGGCCTGAGGGTTTCCTGGTGAAATGGCCTGGCCTGATCAACCCACGGAGGCTCGCAGCACAGTCACCCAGCTGTAGCAGGAAACAGGTTGTGTGAAACACAGACCCAAACAGACACAGAGAGAACCCGCCTGCCGGGCGAGACCAGGGTGTGGGGTGGGGGAGACGCTCATCAAAGGAGAGGGCAGCACAGATACCCTCCGTGCATCCAGCAGCAGGGTCGAAGCTGAAACACAGCACTGGGCTCTTTGAAGGAAGCCCAGAGAACAAAGACAAGCTCTTAGAAATAAAAAAATTCAACAGTAAACCAGATCAGGGGACGCCTGGTGGCTCAGTCGGTTAAGTGTCTGACTCTTGATCTCAGCTCAGGCATTGATCTCAGGGTCATGAGTTCAAACCCCAGGTTGGGCTCCACGCTGGGCATGAAGCCTACTAAAAAAAAAAAAAAAAAAAAAAAAAAATCTGCACAACGAGGTTGAAGAAATCTTCCAGAAAGCAAAGCCAAAGGACAAAGTGACAGAAAACTAGAGAAAAGAGAGTTTTTAGCCTGTGGGTGACCAGGTTGGTGGCTCAACACCCTAATAGGACTTTTAAAAAGGGAATAGAGAACACGGAGGGAAGGAAATCGTTGAAGAAACAATTCAGAAACTTCCAGGCCTGCTGGCCGGGGACAGCAGGATGCCCCAGGGCAGCGGTCACAGCTGGACCCAGAGCTGGGAAAAGACGGCCTGGGACCCAGTCCTGTCACAGGAGGGCTAAGGAAGCAGCTTCGGGCTTTCCCACAACACGGTGGGGGGGTGGGGCGCTGCAAGTCAAATGAAGTATCCAGAATTTTGAAGGAAATCACGTCCCCTGGGATTTGATAGCCAGACTGTCACTGGCGAGTGATGCGACGGGGGATGCGTATCAGGCACCTACCCTCCGTGCGGTGCGATCACACGCACTGCAAAGTGCAGGCTTTGCACAAATGAGCCGATGCGATGAAGGTTCTGTTCCGTGTGGCGCTCCTTCCTTTACCACGACCTGCTTAGCCCCCTGTCGGTGAGCTGTTAATCTGTGTCGTATTTCTCACCGTCACCGGAACAGCGATTGCCTGGCACACTTGGGGTGTGGCACACGCTTAGGGTGCCGAAATACCCACAGACACCATGAGGGTGGACAGGCACGGCCCTCCGGGATGGTGGAACCAACCCAGCCCCGTGTTGGTGGGAGAAGCCCACTTATCTGCACCCTTGCCCACGCACCAGGAGGGAGGTGGATCTGGGGACGTGGCCGGCGACCCCCACTCGTCCTTTTCGGAAGACCCCAGCCGGGCCACAGAGGCTTGGAGGCCCTGAGGTCGGTGAGGGAGGAGCCCGCCCACGAGACCCTTGCCGACCAGGCAGATGAGCTGAACCATCTCTTGGGCTGGGCCTGGGAGCAGGAGGCCCCTGGGGTGGTTCTGCCAGAAATGAGCCCTGAGCTGTCGCTGGGGACACGAGGGGACGGCTGGGCCCGCCTGTCGGCCCAACCCAGCCCCGAGACTCACAGGCCTGTGGGTGCCGGTCCAGCCGCCTCTCTTCTTGGCGGCCCTCTCCCAACCTGCCTCCGGTTCCTCCTCGGCCGGGGGCTTGGCGGGGGGCCCAGAGAGACCACCAATGCTACTTGTCCTGGAAGCTGTCCTCAGCTCAGCAGACCAGCGCCCCGCCCCCACCAGCTCTGCAACGGTTCACCCAAATAATAAAAACGGGCGACGATGCAGCTTTGATCCGTAGCAGCATCTCCAAGGGCTGTGAACGTCCCACCCCGGCCCGACCACCCTTTCACGTGCAGCCAAGAGGCTCAAAGGGGAGAAAACGTTCCCAAAGCAAACACCCTTTGCCAGGGCAAACTTTGCAGGAAAAACAGAAGAGGAAATTCCTAATCTGCCGCCTCATGGGTGACCAGCGGTCCTGCGGCAGGACAGCCACGGCCGCGAGCCCTGTGCCTCCAGCTGAGGCGTCCCCGCCAGGCTTTGTGGCGGGGACCGCAAACTCGTGGGCTTGCCCGCGCCTTTGATCTGCATTTGGCACCGTGAAAACTCCGTTGGCCTGTCCGGGCCTCAGACCCCGGGGGCCTCTGTCCCCCACAACACCGTTTCCCCAGACTCTGCAACTGTGCGTGCAGGCAAGCCTGGACACGGGGGCCAGAGAGGCCCCGATGTCACCTGCGGCGGCAGCCAGGGCATGTCCGGGGGAAGGAGGAGGTCAAATTCCTGGGCCGCCCGGCTGCCCCCCTCGCTGCGTCTTCGTGGCTGAGGTGCGTCTCACCTTCAGCTCCCGAGGAAGCACTCTGCTTGTGTCCCCAAGCGCAATTGTGAATATACTTTCCAAAACCCAAGAAATAGTTCCAGCCGGGTTTTCCTGATGCTTGAGGGCCCTGGGCTCTGTGACGGGTGGATGCCAGACACAGGAACGGTGGCACGAGCGAGACAGCGGACGCGGGAACGGGACACTTTCCCGGGGCACCTCTGCTGGGGTCTCGGGGCCCGGAGCACCTTCTTTCTCCACGAAGGCCTGGCTCCGGGCTGCTCGCTCAGGGGCTCTGCCTCCTCCTGGGATGGGGCAGCTCCGGGGCCTCCACAATGACCCTCCTGTCTCAGGAAGCCAGGACTCTGTTCCGAGTCTCCCTTCAGGTCACGGCTCCCTCACACTCACATTTCCGCTGAATCTGTATGGTTCCTACAACTTCCCACCTGCTCTCACGTTGGGCTGTTTGATGATGATTTCCTGGCCACTTGAGACCAGAAGGATCTCAGGTCTCTTGATGATCATTCACTCATTCTCACACCCATTCATTCACTCGTCCACGCCTGCCTCAAAGGACGTCTGCACCAGCTGCTGAGGACCCACAGGCAGAAAGAGACATGGTTCTGCTGTGGGACTCGTGCTCTGCTGCACCAGGAAGGCATGGAAACAAATGACCCCGACTCGGGCTTCAGGCTTCTGTTTTAGCCCCGACCCCCACATGCTAAGGCTGGCCGGAGGGGCAGGTGGGGACCGAGCCTTCGCTGTGGGGGGGGGGGGCCTGGATGTACAGTGATGGGGCTGGGACACGGACAGGACAGGGAGGCGGACACACGGATCCAGCTGCAGTGACAGTCTCGTCTGGCCTCCAGATTCGTCACGCCGACCAGAGATGTTCACTTCAGGGAGACAAGGCCCGTCTGCCTTATGCCTGCTGGAATGCACAAGTGACGGGTGAGTAAATAGGGTGCGTGGGAAGGGTGTGGGGACCCTGCCACTTGACTCACCAAGCCCGCCCTCCACACAGCTCATCATCAGATGGGCCCACGGCGGCCCCTCCTGGCTCCCTCCGGCTGGAAGAGACTGGGGTACGGCTGCAGGGCAAGCCCAGGGGTACGGAGCTTACAGGGAGGCCCACAGGGAGGGCCATAGGGACAGGGACCCCGCAGACGGACCCCACCGGAGTCTGCACTAACAGATGCTGTCCTCCCCAAAGTCTCCCGGTGGCCTGGGAGAGCAGCCCAGCTCTCACCGAACGGCCTCCAGCAGGAAGCTCGACTGTGCCGTCCCTCTGCCCGGCAGCTGGGTGACCCTCGGGGGGCCCTCGACTGCACTGGCCCTGAGTGTCCAAACCCCAAGGTCCGTTTCCATTTGAAGGTGGTGGGTTCCAGCCCTCTGATTGGGGAGGTCAGAGCTCAGAAAGCGACAACCCCGAGGTACGTGAGACCAGGCCGGGGTGAGTCCTCGAAGTGAGCCCTGCATGGAGCCTGGCAGGGGGCATCAGCACTTGCCTGTTTTACAGGTGGAGAAAACAAGGACAGCCCAGTAGGACACGAGGGAGGCACCAGGGCAAGCAACCCCTGAAAAGTATGTAAAGCTAAAAGAGTGAAGATAATGGCACGTCTCGGGCTAAGATGTGAACGTTCACTTGAAGGTCATGGAGGCTTTCGGCGCCCAATGGCATGACTCGCTGCCGGGGCCATGGAAGAACCGCGGCCGAGCAGAGAGCCAGAGGCCGTGTGAGGAGCGGGTCCCGGGCCTTGGAACTCTGGGAGGGCCCAGCCCGGGGGGGGGAGAGCAGAGGTGGTCTCTCTGGTGTGGGGGCCCGACAGGGAGGGGGCAGACCAGCACCCCCCAAGAGTCATCACGTGAGGGGCCAGCAGGGGTGGTTCTGACTCCTATCGCCTCCCTCTCCTGGGCCCACACCCTCCCCCTGCTCCCCGCTGCCTGCTGATGAGAGTCCGAAGGTCTCCGCAGGAGCCTGGCAGGATGGTGAGGAGCTCACTGGGCAGAGGGAAGGGTGGCCCGCGGGCATGGGGACCGTGGAGCACAGACCCGGGGGAGGGAACGTGGAGTCACAAGTGGTAGGAGACGAAGCACGATTTGCAGAGGGTGATGGGGACCCCAGAGGCTGGGGGGAAGACCGTCCCCAAAGAGGAGCTGCAGGGTCTAGAAAGCCCTCAGGCATGGTGGCGGGGGGGGGGGGGGGTGCCCTGCAGGCTGCTGGCAGGCAGGCTCTGCCCTGGCTGGTGGCTGTCGGCTTCTCGAGAAGGAAGTTTTCTTCTTCTCCAGCTGGAAAGGCAAGGCAAGAGAGGCAGGTGGGCGGCAGCTTCGGGGCAGGGAGGCGTGGGGAGGGGCCCTGTGGGCTGGGCTCAGGCATCCTGAAGGAAGGAAGGAGGGCTGCAGGCAGGCGGCCGCTTGTTGGAGTTGAGGGCGGCTGTACGGCCCAGGTTGGGACACGCCAGCCACAGCGGCCTCTGCCACCACCTCCCACTCACAGCACCACCACCCCCCCCCCCGCCCCTCCTGACACGTCCTGGGAATCCCTGGCTCCACATCGGCTCTCCACTGTCTCACTGCTGCAGGTTGGGGGAGGGGGGGGGCACGGGAGAAGGGGTCCTTATAGTGTCATGTCTGCTCTGTGCCAGCCCAGTGCTTGAGGTGTGGGAACGGAGGGACACATCTTCTGCTTGGAGGGCCTGGGACACAAGGTCCGGCCCCAGGCAACAATGCAACAGTGGAAGGAGATGGGGTTGGTGCCAACTCTCCCAGCAAGAGTGAACGGTGCATAGAGCCTGTGAAGACCTGTGTAAACGTTGTCAAATCCCTTCCCCTTTCTGAGCCTCAGCTTCCTTGCCTGAGCAATGGGTCAATAGCCTGTTATAAGGATCATCTCATCAGCAATAGTAGACTTAGGTGCTTCCTAGGGGCTGTATAAATGGATGGGTGGGTGGATGGATGGATGGCTGGATGGACGGACGGATGGAC